TGTTGGCAGTGAGTGTTTTTGATATATATATTATCGTATCTCAACATATCTTTAGAGTCGAGTATTTTAATGTCGAATATTTCATTCTTCTTGGAATGAAGGTACATTCATGATATTGGTTTGCGGTGCTAATATTGTGGATCTCACGACTCATGAGTTATTGGAAAATAATAGACTAAATGAAATTACTGAACGTTCAGGCGATTTATGCGGAGGGGCATCTGTAGATAGAGAGTTTATAAAATTCTTAAGACGAAAAGTTGGTGATTCGACTATAAATAAGCTGCTTGAAAATCACTACGGTCAATTTCAATATATGGTACAGGAATTCTGTCGCCGTGTCAAATTACCATTTACTGGTAATAGGAATGATTTTAGAACCTACGAACTTGATTTGGATGAAGTATGCCCAGTACTGAAACAATATGTAGCCGGAACTTCAAAAGTAAAATTAGAAAAAGATGACTGGATAATTGATTTAGAATATTATGACGTTAAAAGTATGTTTGATCCAGTAGTAGACAAGATTCTTAAGTTGATTAATGGGCATCTTACTGCCAGCACAGGAACGTGCGCTGTTATGTTTTTGGTTGGGGGGTTTAGCGAGTCCAAGTATCTTCAAACGAGAATTAAACAAGCGTTTGGAGCTCAAATCGGGGAAATTTGTATCCCAAAGGATCCGGTAAAAAAATTTTTTTCTTGATATTAAAAAAAAAACTATCAGTTGTATGTATTTATATGCTTACAAACTCATTGCACAAACTTAATATTTTGATAGATTACTGCGGTAGTAAGGTGCGAATTTATAAAGTAAGATCAACATAAGATATCCTTGTTAAAATAGCAAGTTATCCAATAAAAAAAAAAAGTCCTATTTGAATAGAACTTTACATTTAAAAGGATTTTTATTTTTGCGTGTTTTGTATGTGGATTGAGAATCTTGCATCTATTTAGGCGTTTGTTATTATATTGGATATCTTATGTTGTATTGTGCTGTAAAAAATATAACAGTATATTAATTCAATCGATTTTCTTTAGAGGTGGAGTTGACTACGGCCTAAAGTTGGTATCGGCAGGTGACAAAAATTTTTCCTCACTTTTTAAAATTTAAAAAATCAACTATCTATCAAAACTAAATAAATATTTATTTATCTTATAGCTTAAGAAATTCTCTATTTAATAGAATATTTATTTTTATTAATTTTAGCATTTACCACCGTTGTCGATAGCACACCCTTTATATAGTTTAGGGTTAGGGTGCGATTTTAGAATAAAGGAGGAGTTTTATATAATATAATGTAGATTGGATATAAGGTCCCGCTTTCGGTTCTAGTGAGGTTTTAAATGGTCCTGAACATTTTTACTTAGATACTCGGACTTTATTTTAATTCACGAAATGGGAGTTTTCACCCATGTTTATTTTCTATCTGACTATTCATAATCACAAATTAGATTCTTTTAGATCCCACTTATTTCTTTAATTTTAAACCCATTAATAAAATTTTAATTATTATTATATTTACAAGATAATTTTATTAGTGCGCTTCAAAGCTTACCCCACAGCAAAAGGGATAGTGGGCCAAAAAATTTTTTTATTTTAATTGATTTCTTGATAATAGAAATACAATTTTTTATAAAATTACAAAATAAAATTTGTGATCCACTGCCTCCTTTTGCTGTGAGAGCCCTCATACCTCGAAAACTAGTGGAAGCTAAAAAATCTCATCTATGTTTTGAAATATTCGAAATGAGAAACTAAATAAAAGCATATGATAATAAAATTTGTAATCCTTTTTTTTTTTTTATAAAGATGCTGAATATTAATTCTAAACCCTCCCAGTATGACAGTTTGCAATCATCATCAGTGCCAACT